AACCCACAAATGAATTGCATTCAATTTCACGGGTCTCAGATTAAGAAAAGCTGTTATGTCTTCTCCTGCAGTGATCAGTTTATCTCAGAAAGGGAGGGTGAAACATAAGATGAGCTTCTAAGGGTGACAGCAGCTGGAAAGGCAGCCACTGTTTAAAAAATTACTTCACAAATGATTTTTGCTTGTTTCAGTAATCCTGGGCTACATGCCATTAGCAGTTGGGCTACTATTCATATAATTTATTGAGAACAACTAATAACTAATAAGAAAGAAAGGGGAGACAGAATTGGAGAAAGAAGCAGCAGACAGGAAGAGCCAGGATGATCCTGGAGATCAAGTGACCTGAAAAATACTTCCTCAATCTCCATTCTTCCTGCTGCAGTTTAACCAGGCAGATCAAGCCAAAGGGAGAGAGAGAACACAATGGGGTCATTTCCCCACTGCTTGGTGAGGTTCTGAAAGATGTCTTTGGGGAGCTGTGGTTAGTCGTCTTCCCTTCCTCTGCTGCCAGAAGACCAGGACTGTGCCTCTAGAGATCCGATGAACAAGGTTCCTTCCATGGGGAGGTTTACTTTGCCAAAGTGATGTTAAGACTTGCTAAGGTCAAGGCTGAGTCCAGAGCTTTCAGGGGATACTTTGACCACAGTCGTCATTCGTGCTTTTACTTAAAGACATCACGCATGAAATAGAAAGCCATTTGCAACGTAAACAAAAGTCAAAGCTTTTCCGCCAGACTCCATAGATGAGCTTCCATATTAGCTGGGCACACACATATTCCGCCCCAGCTCCACTCCGCTCCGCCCCAGCCCCGCCCCAGCACTACCCAATCCCACCCAGTCCCAGCCCCAGTCCCACCCCAGCTCCACTCAGCCACACCCCAGCCCCACCCAACCCCGCTCCACCCCATCCCATCCCAGCCCCACTACAGCCCCACCCAGCCCCACTCCCACAGGTGATGCAGGCAGAGAATGCTCCATTCATTTGCAAACTGCCAGGGTGTCATTTGTCCCATAAATAAATGTTTAGTAAGCATTCCGGTTATTTTTCCCGGTGCTCAATAGGATGCAAGAACTGAAGGAAAATGAGTTTCTGGTGGTGCTTAAAGTGATATCACAAAAGCAAAGGTGTTTATTCAAGACGGTTCTGGCAGCCCATTGCTCATCCTTGCAAAACATCCTCTGTGCTGTAATCTTGTTCTCACCCACTGAGGTGTTTGCTTCTTCCCATGTTTCCTCAGGCCGTCCTCTCTGGAGGCTGGCAGGTGGTTCCCCTTTACTTCACGCTCTAATACATTTCTCTCTCAAGATATCACATACCACCAGCCTGGGACCGCTGAGCTTAGGGGCTACCAATCAGCAAGAAAATGCTGCAGCGATTTCTTTTCTCAACAAAAGAATGATGAAACTTTTAAGCTTATCAAACCCAGGTTGGGGGTGGGGGAGAAATCAGATTTCGTTTTCAGAGAATTTGAGTCTCCAGGATGTTTCCAGTGCTCCCGTTTTCTCCACTGCATCTGGTTTGTTGAAATGAGGAAACATTCCAAAGAGCTGAAGTAGTCGAAAGGCTAGCATTGTGTGTATTTGCCCAGGATAGCCAACACTTTTGGATAGGGGTACTTGGTGTGTGATGGAATTTGTTTGCATGAAAATCTATTATCTATTTGTCTATTTATTAGTATTTTTAGTTTTGTTGAGACAATGTATCCCTCTGTATTCCAGACTAGCCTTGATCTCATGATCCTCCTGCCTCAGCCTCCCAGTTCTGGGACTACAGGTACCTGAGTTTCAAGAATATAGACTCTTTGTTCTGAACTAAGCTCCGAGGAACATCTTTCCATTTGTGGAATTAGTGTGGTAAGAAATGGAAAACTGCTGGGAACAAGAGTCCCTACCATCTAGTGTAGACCTTTTTCCTAAGCAATCTTCAAGCAATGGAAAGCAACTTTGGAATTACCTGTGGTAGAGTACCCTGCACAGCTTGCAGACAGCTCAGTAATTTGGAGAGTATCCTTTCCAGGTGCTTCTGCTGGTCTAACCCAGCTTCTCTCGTTTCTGTTTCTTCAAGACAGTTGCTCTGGTCTCATAGCCTTTGCAGCCTGACTTGTCTGAGAATGACTCTTGGCTTTTATTGCTTACTCTGGCTGGGAGGGGCCTAGTGAGTCTGCTCAGTTTCAGGGATTTCCTGAGGCTATTTGAGTTCTTTGCCTTCCCACTTAAGGAGCTTCCTGCAAGATGTAATGTTTCAGTCTGGTAGGAAACTGCTACCAACAGTTACCTCAGAGGCTATCTCAGAGGAACTCCCCTGGGAGCACCCTTAGGATCAGTGCCCATGGAGGAAGTGATGGGAGCAGGAATGGAAAAAAGAAGAAGCTAGTGCCTTCTTGGTGTCAATAGCAGAATCAACCAACACCAGTCCTGGCATGGTCTACTGCCTTCATTCATTCACTGCAGTAGTCCAGGCAGTGGTCTACTGTCTTCATGCACTGCAGTAGTCCTGGTAGTGGTCCACTGTCTCCATTCATGCACTGCAGTAGTCCTGGCATGGTCTACTGTCTCCATTCATGCACTGCAGTAGTCCAGGCATGGTCTACTGTCTTCATTCACTGCAGGAGTCCAGGCAGTGGTCTACTGTCTTCATGCACTGCAGGAGTCCTGGTAGTGGTCCACTGTCTCCATTTATACACTGCAGTAGTCCAGGCATGGTCTACTGTCTCCATTCATGCACTGCAGTAGTCCAGGCAGTGGTCTACTGTCTTCATGCACTGCAGTAGTCCTGGCATGGTCTACTGTCTCCATTCATTCACTGCAGTAGTCCTGGCATGGTCTACTGTCTCCATTCATGCACTGCAGGAGTCCAGGCAGTGGTCTACTGTCTTCATGCACTGCAGGAGTCCAGGTAGTGGTCCACTGTCTCCACTCATGCACTGCAGTAGTCCTGGCATGGTCTACTGTCTTCATTCACTGCAGGAGTCCAGGCAGTGGTCCACTGTCTTCATGCACTGCAGGAGTCCAGGCAGTGGTCCACTGTCTTCATTTATCCACAAGGGAAGTGATTTTCATCTGTTGGCTTCCCTGGGGTCTCACTGCTAAGGGAAGGACCTGGCATAGGGCAGGCAGTTAATAAATCTGTTAGCCCAGCATTTTTCACAAGAGAAAGCTGGGATTCAACACAATGAAGTAATCTACTCAAGGTCACATAGCTCGGAAGTAGCCGAGTTGAATAGTTAAATGCTCTGTGATGTTTCATAACATTCAAAAATCCATTTAGCAAAAAGCCAGACATTATCAATGGCCCCTCTCCAGCCTTCCTCCCTCCCACTGATTGAAGAAAGGCATTTTAAATAAGCAGGGATTCCATGCTGGAGGACTTCTGGAGATTGTCTGTGGGCCGTTGGCAAGGGAATTCAGACTCAGTGTTAAGGAAGGAAGCTGGTGAGCTATCTCTATGCTGGGCTTGTCGTGGGCCACAGAGGCCAAGGCCTGTAATTAAATGCAGACCAGCTGCCATAGGCTGGCACTCTGACAGGGAGGCATCTTGTCCACATGGGACAGGCTTATGGAGTCTGAGATGCTCAGGGAGTATAACAGTTTTGGGTATAAACTCAACACTTAATCGTCCTTCCTGAAATGAAGCAACAAAACCCTAACCCTTCTCATCCCAATGAAGTGCAGCAGGTCCCATACAAACACAGTGTCTGTCCTGGTTCCCTGTGAGGCTTCTGTGTGTATATCATGTGGACAAAGGGGGATGTCAGGGCCCAGGGCAAGTCTACCCAGGATGATTAAGGAAAAGGGGGTTTGAGTATGATCATGTTAGTCAGTGAGGCCCACAAGTGTGTTTTTTCTCTTGCACTTGGGAAAGCCATGTTGTAGGCCCTCTCTCTGCACAAGGTGTTGGCGGCCTTGGCAGAATGGAGCTTTGGGAACTGGGGCCATAGGTGGTAGCTAGCTAGCTCCTTGGACAGTTTAGAAGGAGGAGGCACAGAGGGCTTTGAGTAGAGGTTGAATCCTGCAGGCTGAACCGAAATCAAGATGGCCCCTCACCGGGTTGGAGTCAGGAGCATCCCAGTGCAGCTCTTTAAGGTACAGGGTCTTGGTTGCTGGCATGCCTGTCCTGAATCTGCAGTGAGAATTGAGCAAGAGAGGACCACGGCATACTAGCCTACTGTTCATCAAGGCATTGACTCACAACAGGCCTAGGCAAAGAACCTTTGAAGGGCTTGGTTTGTGACAGAGAGGGGGGAGGGGCGGGAAACAGACAGGGTGGGGAAAGGAGGCCTGTGAGGGTCAAAATGCCTTCTGTTAGCAATGGCTCCCCTTCCTGCTGGCCCTGGTACCCCCACTGTCCTTTCAGATTTTTGTTTTTTTCCTGACAGGGTCTTACTTTGTAGCCCCGGCCGGCCTCAAACTTGCCATCCTTTCTCATCCTCCCAAGTGCAGGAATTGCAGGTTAGTATCACCACAACCAGGTCAACAACTTACTATTGAATGACTAGTTTTCAATGTGACTATGTGCTAACATCCACATTTAAGTGTTTGAGACAGCATCTTGTTCTATAGCTCAGGATAACCTTGAACTCTTGATCTTCCTGCCCCGGCGTCTTGAGCGCTGGGCTCACAGCTTATCCTACCATACCTGGGTTGTTTATCTTTTGTGCTGGCTTGGAGCGTAACATCTGGTGGACAGTGAACACCGTTAGTGTTGAATCATGCACTTTCTTACAGAATCATGCATATAAAATTATTTAAGAATTACTGGCAGTTTCTTGAGATTATTTGAGTAAGCTGGTGGAGAAGTGTCCAGGAGCTAGCTCAGACTCACGGTAACAGCATAAGCGTACCTCGGCGATGCATCGGGTTGGCTGGCATCGTCGTGATTATTTTACATGGAAATTCTTCCAAAATCTTCTGAAAAGCTGATCACATCCTGCAGCACTCTGGCTCTCTCATTTCTCAAAACTGGGCTCATGATCCCACCCCCTGCCCCACAGACCCTTACAGGTACCATAGGATCAGTGTGGTGCTCATGCATTGCATGCTCCCTGCACTGGTGCCCTGATACTTTTGGGGAGAGACCCTGTAGAATTCCTACTTCCTGGCTTCTGTTCTCCGATACACCATCGCTCTCAATGGCACCTGGCTGGTGAACAGCGCTGCCCACAAGTATGGAAAGTGGCCCGATGACAAGCATCTCAGCCCTTGGCAGAACCCACTCGTTGCTCTGGGTCCATTGGTGAGTGGGGTGTTGAGAGCCAATGGGGAATGGCAGTCTGGATGTTATTGACTTTGTGGGAGGGAAGGTTTTTATGGCTATAAGAAAAGGGAGTGAAGGAGTGTAGAGAAATTGAACTTTGGTCTTGGCATCCTAGCTCTTCGACGAGTTAGGCAAGTTCTCTGCTTTATGGTCTTATCTGTCAGATGGGAAATAGCAACATCTCCCTCATAGAGCATACAAACTGCTCAGTGCCTCGCTGGGGCATAGAAGACGATCAATAAATGGTTTAATAGTTGCTTTCATCATGAAAATTTCCCTACAGAAGCAGCAATTGCTTTTCTTGCAAACAGTCGACCTAGCTACTCCAGACCTGGATATCCAATCATTTGTCAGAAAAAAGAAAGTCTTCAAGCAGGTAACGGCAAGAGAGGAGGCTCATGGGACCACAGGTGGCTAAACCGAAGGCCAGGGCAGAATCAAAGTTAGGTTACATCCTGGGTCCTCCATTTGCTCTGTGGGCACTATCTGGCTTTGTATTCTTATGTGTAAGAAGACAACAAGCAGCCCTTCCTCCTCCCTGAGCCACTGGAGAGTGAGATGAGGTGATACCTAGCGCTTGCAGAGGTGCTTAGCGTGAAACGAGCCTTCCGTGGCACCAATGCCTGTAGGGCTGGCTTTATGGTCTTAGGTGAGTTGCTTGTCCCTTCTGTGCATTTCTGTCCTCATTTGAAAATAGGGATAATCATAGCAGTTAGCAGAACCGCACGGGGATAATGGGTGTTAGCACTGAGCCCTCAGTGCTGTGCTTGGCATGCAGCAAGTGACTCATAAATATTATTAGCCACGCCTCTCCAGATGCAGCTCCGGCTCTTTGGTAAAGCTGAGCATTAAGCAGAGATCAAGCCAGGAAGGGAAGGTCTACTGCCAGGTAGGAATGGTCGGTGTCACTTGGTGACTGTTACCATTTCATCAATCATCCAATTAAGATCCTGGGGATGCTGCAGTCTTGTCAAGTGTGTTGACAGCAGCAATATGAGTCCGCATAAACACAAGAGCTCTAGCTGTGTAGTCACTAGGTGGGAGGGGGCGGGCTTTGACTACAGAAGAAATTCTTTTTCCTGCTGTGTTTTCCTCCCTCCTTGTTTCTTGTGTTGGCTAAAGCAGGAGGGCCACATTCAGTGTCAATTCTGGGCATAAATGGAAGTGGGGACAGCATAGGCTACTCTGTCTTGTATAGGCACACGTGATGCGGGTCAGGCAACCAAACAGCATGGCTATGACGTAGGCCCTGAAGAGCTAGACAATGGCTTTCAGTCTACCTAGACCAGCAGCGAAGGTCCAGGCACAAAGCAAAAATCGATAACTGTAATTAACAATGAATGATAAAGAGGAATAAGAGGGAGTCTAATTTCTCCACACTTAACAGTAATCATTATGTGAATCTGCTCTCCTAATGCCCAAGGGGAAATGTATGTTTTTAAGAAACATGAATGTGCTGAATGGTGGTGGCACACACCTTTGATCCCAGTATTTGGGAGACAGAGGCAGTGCAGATCTCTGAGTTCAAGACCAGCCTGGTCTACAGAGTGAGTTCCAGGACAGCTTCCAAAGCTACACAAAGAGATCCTGGCTTAAAAACCAAAACAACAGAAACAACAAAAACCCCACAAATGTTTTCAGCATTATTCATATCAGCTAAAAAGAGGAAAAGAGCCCAAATGACAATCCACTGACAGAGAGATGTGTACAATGCTGTATATCCATACAATTAATCGATCAAAACAGGACTGGAGAAATGGCTCAGCCAGTAACACTGATTGGTGTGCACACAGACAACCCCAGTTCAATTCCCAGGACCCACAGCAAAGGAGAGAACCGACTCCCTAAAGTTACCCTCTGAACTCTACATGGGTGCCATGGCACATGTACAACTCCATCTCTCTGCACACACAAACACACAGTTATATAATACCCATAGCTGACCAGTGGGGATTGGAAGGAGGTTGGGGGTACTAAGGAGTGTGGGAGAGTGTTAGGAGGTAGGGTAGTTCTTGAGGAATATTGAAAATGGTCAACTCTATGACATATTAAAATCATATTTGTACTTTAGAAGTGAGAATTCTGTGAATTATAACTCAATGAAGCTGTTTCTAAAAGAAAACGAACTAGCCAGGTGATGGTGGTGCACGCCTTTAATCCCAGCACTCGGGAGGCAGAGGCAGACTGATGTCTGTGAGTTTGAGGCCAGCCTGGTCTACAGAGTGAGTTCCAGGACAGTTTCAAAACAATACAGAGAAACCCTGTCTCGAAAAGCCAGAAAAAAAAAAGAAGAAAGAAAAAAGGAACTGATCATGAGGAAATGAAAATTAAAACCAAAAGGGGATAGTGCTTCCCTTTAGTTAGAATGACTGTTTTTAAGAAGAGGAAGAATTAGTGTCGGCAGGAAAGAGAACCCTTACACACTCTAAGGAAGCCTCCCTCCCTCCCTCCCTCCCTCCCTCCCTCCCTCTTCTCTCCCTCCCTCCCTCCCTCTTCCTCCCTTCCTCTCTCCCTCCCTCCCTTCCTTTTTTCTCTCTCTTTCTCTCCCCCTCTGTCTTTCTTCTTTTTTAAGCTAAAAAACAGAGTTACCATATGATTAAGTAAAGCCTATCAGTGTGTGATATCCTAAGGAAGTGAAATAATTGCTGAAGAGACATCTGCACTCCTATGTTTATTGAAGTGCTATTTGAAACAGCAAGATACTGAATGGATGTTCACCAGTGGATACTGAATGGATGCTCGCCAGTGGATACTGAATGGATGCTCGCCAGTGGATACTGAATGGATGCTCGCCAGTGGATACTGAATGGATGTTCACCAGTGGATACTGAATGGATGTTCACCAGTGGATACTGACTGGATGTTCACCAGTGGATACTGACTGGATGTTCGCCAGTGGAGGGTTGCCAAAGACAATATGCTACATGAGTGGGTAATGCACAGTGTTCTCCACCCTTAATGTAAAAGGGCACCCTGTCATACGCAGTGAACGTGAAGGCTGCAACCCTTAGGGAAGTATATCAGGCACAGAAAGGCAAACACTGCAGCATCTTGTATATAAGTTGAACCGCAAAAAGAGCAACTCAAAGAGGCAGGGAGCAAAACAGGGTCACCAGGTGCTGGAAGATGGGTGAGAGGGTGAGAGGTATTGGAACACACACACTCACACTCAAACACACACACACACACACACACACACACACACTTCCAATCGGACATACACCATGTAAGCAAAACACCAATGTATATAAAATAAAAATAAATAAAATAAAAAATCAGAAGAAGGACAAAGAAAATCAAATGTATGATGCTCTCAAGTCTCTCATGAAAATGACTCTTTGGGAACTGCAAAAACAACTCAGCAGGAAACTGGAATAATATTCAGTAGAGCGGACATTTAAAGGCCCTGCTCTTCTTTAATTCACTCACCTGTGTGAACATTTCACTTCCCCCACCCAAGCTTGAAGGAAGTCTTCCTGTAATGGCTCCCGCCCACACAGACTATTTTCCTTTTATGACCTATTGTCAGCCTGGTAGCATTTACCTTGAGAAGGGCAGCCCGAGGGAGCAGCATCCTGTCTGCCATTCGCACTGGAAAACTAATCTTGTGGTGCTGCTGAGCAACTGAGATTATTTTCTGTTTAACTGAGCCTGTCTGGCAACTGAGTGAGTTTCCGAGGGCTGGAGCCAAGTCCTTTGCCGGAATTCGCAGTCTGAAACAGCCTTAAACTAGGTAGAGCCTAAACACCGATAAAACTTCTATGCAGGCGACCATATTTATTGTTGCTCAGTTAGCAACATACATTCAGGAAACAGAACCAGTCTAGATGTCCATTAACGGACAGATAAAAAATGTGATCCACATACACAGTGGGATTTTATGCAGCGACAAGGCGAAGGGAACCCAAGACAGTCTCAGGAAAATGATTGGAACCAAACATCATGATAAGCAAAATAAGCTAAACTTAGAAAGACAAGTGTCACATATTTTATCTGTAGAACCTAGACTTAAAATAATATGTATGCACAGACGTGTGCTTATGTACATGCCACTCATAAAACTGGAAGGGGGATCACTGGACGAGGGGAGATTTTTAAGGGAGGGAAGGAGTAGGCAGTAGAGGACATTCAGTAAGAAAGCAAACAGGGGACTGACTACCTGGGGAAGGTGACACCAGCTGGAGTGAGGCAGAGGCTAAGGAGAGGAGGCAGTGAGGGAGAGGAACAATGAGAATTAAATAATGGCACGTAGGTATGAGGATGTTATAATGAAACCCACTGCTTTGCATCCCAATCTGAAAAATGAATTAAACACAAGAACCAACAACATCCACGCAGGGAGGTGGTAATAGTGTGACTTCACGGCACACTTTGTCTTCCAGGTGAAGGCTCCCACAATTCCTACCACACATTTCCCTTTGACTACACTGAGTGAATTTAATTTAAATTTTAACCCAACCACCTGGTTCATGGATTTCATGTGTTTCCTGGGAATGGCCACTGAACACAAATGGGCCACCAAGCAGATGAGCGAGGCCAGCAAAGCCAAGACAGGAGATGGCAGTGCCTGAAGCCTTCCACGTGACTACCATGACAAACAGCAGATTTTCTCTACAGTTTTCTTGTTTATTGGCTTGTAGGAAGGGGTAGAAGGTGGGGAGGAGATGAAATACATATGATCTGGGAAATTTTGTCTCAAATAGTGTCAACTATAACAATCAATGAAAAAATAAGCCACTGTTAAAACTATGATTCAGTATTAGGATATGGATGTGTGACTCATTCCCCGAAACTATGTCAGCAAGCATACACTGTCATGTGTATGTGCGCAAACACATATACATATGTCATATACATATATGTCAACCGGGACATGCTGGACATGGAATTGCTTCAGATCACACTGTCTGAAGGAGCAGAGAGCCAGGGCGTAACTTCATCTGCAACAGCCATGTTCCTCGCTTGCAATTACCATGTTGTGTACAGTTAAAAATTTTAAAAGATGAAGATATAGAACATGGTTCTTGAAGCTGGATGTGGTGGCACACACCTTTAATTCCAGCACTTGGGGGGCAGAGGCAGGCAGATCTCTGTAAGTTCAAGGCCAGGACTGTTACACAGAGAAACCCTGTGTTGAAAAACAAAAAGAAAGAAAAGAAAAAAGGAAAGGAAGAAAATGGCTCTGTATTATTCCCACCCTGGTATAACTTGCTGACCCTTCCATTGTCTTTGCTTTAAAACAGATTGTGTTTGGGACCAGTGAAGCAGCTCATGGGGTAAGAGGGTAAGAGCGCTCGGTGACTTTGATCCTTGGGATCTGAATGGTAAGGAGAGAACTGAATCCCACAAATTGTCCTCTGTCTTCCACACATACAACACGATACAAACACATGTGAGTGCATATGTGAACCTGTGCACCTGCATGTGCACGGGCACACACGCAACCAACCACTTGTGTGCCCGCCCAGAAAATAAATGTTTTAGAAAGGGATGTATCCACCGCTCAGCTCACTCTATAAATCGATGCCTATTTGGATGTTTGACTTCCTTTTCGCTGTTGCCATTTTAAAGGTGTATAACTCAGACAAGCCAGACATCAAATTAAACACAAATTAAGCTTTCATTTTAATGTTTATATATATAATTTGTGTTCTAATTGATCTCAGCCACTGATGTGTGCTACTTTAGCTACTTCTCCTAAATATGTGCATTAATTTTCCACACAGGGTCATCACCACTTAACCAACAGTTCACCTAGAACTCTGTCCACTAATGTGTTGTGTGCGTGTGGCCACCATTGATTCTGCAGCAAAATATAAAGTGATCATTATGTAGCATCTAGATTAGAACAATTTTGTATGTTAACTTACCTCGTAAAGAGCGTGTTGAATCAATAGGACAGCCTGCCTGCTGTGTTAGATGTAAGGGTGGAGGAAGGGCTGGGTCACCTTGGGTGCCAGAGTAGGATAAAGACAGCTTCAGGCATCAGCCTGGGAATCCAGCATGGGACTGATCAAGACCCCCTGAATGGGGGTGTCAGTGAGGAGGCCTAGGTAATCTATTGAGCCTTGGGCAGCAGATCAGTACCCATCCCAAGTATACACACAGACTTTGGACTCCCATCCAACAATGTGAGGTGCACTCTCACCCTGAACTCTTGGGGAAGGGTCTAGACCCTGCCCTATATGAAATGACAGACTATGGATACCCCAATGGAGGGCCTCACCTTTCCTGGGGGAATGAGGGAATAATGGGGGGGGGATTGGGGGGAGGGCACGGGAGGAGGGGAGGGAATGGGAGAGGGACCTGGAACTGACTTGTGAAGCAACCTTGTTTCTTATCTAAATTTAAACTGAAAAAAAAAAAAGATAGCTTCAGGAAAAATACAAGATTTAAAATTCAGATTTTTTACAAGAGGACAAGACACACCAATTAGGAATTATCATGGTGAAGTTCTTCCATCTAGCAGGTGTCATTTGGCCATTAGTAATGTGCAAACCATAAGCAATTTACAATAAATTATTATTAATTCATTTTTGTTCTTGTCTGGATATTTTCAAGTTATTTCAGGAATGTTCTCTTGAGCTCTGGGTGCTTGGTGATTACTTACATTTGACAAACTCTACATTACCAAAGGCCTTGTGGCCCAGCATTCTCCATCCCATCTACCCTTTGGTACAGCCAGCTGGTCTGTGTAGCATGGGGACCCCCAGTGGTGACATTACTCACTTCTTACCTAACAACACTATCACTTACTCTATTGTTAGTTAACCAGGGGAAACCTGATCCCACTTGTCACCAAGAAAGCATGACAGACATGTTTCCTCCAAGCTTTACCACTAGGGACCAGAAGTTAGGGGGAGGGATTCATACTCTCATCCCCAGTTCCTAGTCATCAACTCTCTATCCTCTGTCCCCAGATACAAGTCAATGACATCAGACATAGACTTTTTAGCCTGCAGTTGAGTGGATTCCAGTCATCCCTGGGTACCAGACCAGTTCTCACCATGTATATATACCCTTAGATCTACCCATGGCATTTTTCAAGTGCTTCCCATTGTAGTCCCACATTGCCAAACTGTTGTATGACATTTGCTTGTATTCCAAGATGAGTTTATATGAGTATGCCTTGATGAGGAATGTTTTCGGGAACCTTTGATCCCTCAAATAGTAAATGGACTGACTTGTCCATTAATAGAACAGCATTACATTTGGAACAGCTACTTGAAATCTCACCTCATCATAGGCAGTTATTCCCCTACTGGTCCAACTAAACCTAGAGGCTCACACCTCTGCACCTGACTACATCTCCACGTAACCTGTGAATGCCCCTGAAATGTCAAGGGTTGGGGGAAGAATTGGACAAAAGTTAGATCACCATAATGTCATCAGTATTGATGTTCCCAGCCCTCCTAAGGCAGCCCTAAAGAGCTTGCCACAGATTTTGAAGGTGTCTGTTCAAGGCAGAGAACCAGTCTCCCATGTCTTCTCTTTAGCCTCCCATCCCTACAAGGTTTGCTGCAGAAGTCCCTGTTTCTGAACCTAGCCAGGAGGGACCAAGGGAAGAAGCTCCAGTCGTGTATGTCTCAGGGGTCATGGTGACGACACGGAGCCAGCCTGGGATGGCGGAGTCATCAATGCACTTTATATCCCCCATTCTACTGCCCACCAGCTGCGGCGTCTTTAGAAAAACCCACCTTTCCGGTCTAATTTCCTTGTCTGCAAAAGAGGGAGTCAAGCCAGGTTCTGTCTCAGGTCCACTCAGTCCTAAGATTCATAACAGGACTAGAGATGAGAATATGTCTGACTTCTCAAGGTAGTGCCCGATCCTTTCTGGGACCTGGATGGTCAATACTAAGTAAGAAATAGTCGTGTCTTCTTGGAAGGACACAGGCTGAGGCTGAAGGAATGGAGTGTGCTTGGATCGGTACTTCATTCATTCCCCAAATGTGATGAAGCAATAGTACACTGCCAAGAAAAGCTACCGGGTGAGCAAAGCACCATGGGAAAGCACCATGGTCTTTCAGCCGAGGGTGAGTGACACGTGCTGCCGACAAGGTGTGGAACTGGGAGCCATAATTTTGGTGTTCACTAGTTGGAATCTGTCATTCCAGAACTCTCTCTCTCTGAAGAAGCCTCAGTACTGAAGAGCAATTGTGAATGTTGGTTCGTTTTCACCTCAGTGACAAACCCAAGTAAAAAGTTTAAAGGAGCCGTTTTTATTTTGACTCAGTTGCAGGAAGTGACAGGGATAGAGTTGAGACAGGAAGATACTGTGTAAGAATACCTGAATCAAAGTTATCAGGGACTCACATCCTCTAACCGGGCCCCACCTCATCATTTACATAATCCCTCAATTCTGAACCCACTGAGGAGGTGGCAGCCTTGTGATCCATTTACTTTCCCCAGACCCACTGACTGGCCACCAAGCCACATGAGCCTTTGGGGTATACCTCTCCCCCAAACCATAACACTGTGTCACCCAGCAGTCTTTTCCTCTGGCCCCTCCTTGCACCTCACATTGTTCCTATCCCGGGGTTCAGTTGGGAGCTAGGATGCAAGAGTGATGAGGAGGAGTTCAAAGCTCATAGATATGGTAGCTTTGGGTTACTCGTGTGAGGTTCGTGTCTTCATTTCAGTCCTGTCCCCAGAAACAGGGACACTGTGTGCCCATTGGCTGATGATGGAAAAAAACGAGGAAGGAAACACACGTCCCACTCTGACCTCTGTGATCCTTTGTTTAAGTTTCCGAATTTCCAGGAGTCAGTCAAACTCCTTTCCTCTACGTCACAGAAGCGCTATAAATGAACTGGAACCTTCGGTCCGCTTCTCTTCTGCCATTCCCCTGCAATCTCTGAGCCCGAGGCCCCACCCCACCCCCACCCCTGGGAATATTCCTGACTTGTAAATTTGCATCATCGGAAGCAAGAGGAAGGAAACCCTGGTCTCAGGCACCTGTGAACACAGCAAACCTGGCAGGGAACAACGTGACTCTGGGGCAGCCCGAATTCGGCCTTCTCTCTTCCTCCCGCCTGCCCGCCACAGCGTCTCTGACCCCGTGTGTAGAAGGGCAGTCGGCCATATCTTCATGGTGACTGTCTCACAGGATTCTGAAGTTCTTAGGAAGGCCTTGAGCTGAGAAGAGACACCTGCCAGCCCCTGATCCCTGTTTCTGAGGAAGCAAGCCTTAGGCTGCTTATCCGTGTCATTCACAGCTTGGGGTCTGTCCTGCAGTTCCCACCCTTCTGTTTTCTCTCCTGTCTGAGGCAACAGGAAGAAGTTGCCTCTCTGCCAACAGGCCTATGTCATCCTGGATAAAACAGGGCCCGGCTTGAATGAGGTGTAGTTACACTTTCACTGCTGAATTTTAGGTTCACAGCCCTGGCCTGGGGGAACCTGTGAAGGTGGTGAGGTCTCTCTGCTGAGGTGAAGGAACAGGAAAACCTCACATCAGGTCCTGGGTTCTGCGATTGCTATGCATCAATTGCCTACAACAGCTCCCTTCGCTTCCCCGCCTGGGAACTAAAGAGCACTTAGGCTTCCAGCATCTCCAAGTGCTTCTTCCAGAGTG